AAAGCCTGTGTGCAGCAATGAAGACCCAACACAGCCAAAAATTAATAAATTTTAAAAATAATAAATTTATTTTTAATTATTTGGAATTATCTTTTGACCCTTTTATTTAACAAATATTTCTAGAGCACCACCACATTTTGGGCCATTGTCCTAGGCCCTTTGTCTCATCAGCAAAGTGCCACAGCATTGACTCTGCACTGCACTCTCCCATTTTTTTCATCGTGATAGTGTCATTGATGGCATACTTTCTCCCTATTCTGTACCTTATGCCGGTTTTGCTATTTATGAAGCTATTTGTGATCAACTCTGAGGTATCATCTGCTTCTATGCCCTATGTCTAACTTTATGTGAGAGTATGTAATGCTTGCCATGTAACCTTCCTATAAATCGCAAAATATGTATTTTTAAAACTTTTTATGATAAAGCAGTAATTCTAATTCATGGTAGAAATTTTGGGAAATATGAAAAAACATGTAAGATAAAAAAAAATTTTAAAGCCTATGATCCCTGCAGCCCAAAATAGTATTTCCTCCTGGTATTTTTTTCTATGTATACTTTTCTGCATTTTCCAACTTTTGCATAATGAACATGCTGTCGCATTTGAAACCAGAAAACAAACATTTGCAGTTACAGTAGGGTTCTGTCATGCTCTTTGCAGGCTTGGCCAGAGAGAGGAAACGAGAAGATAAACAGCAGGATAGGTCTCCCCATTGTCACTGCTGCAGTGGCTCTGAGACGGAGACTTGATTGTTCTCAGGGGCTGCAGTACTTGGTGGGTCTGCTCCGCTGCACGTTTTCACCCTGCATTCCAGGCTGCCTGAGCTCTTGGCAGATTAAAAACAAACATAGCTGACATCTGGATGGGTATTTTTTCTTCTTTTTTTTTTTGCGGTATGCGGGCCTCTCACCGCTGCGGCCTCTCCCGCTGCGGAGCACAAGCTCCGGACACGCAGGCCCAGCTGCCATGGCCCACGGGCCCAGCCGCTCCGCGGCACGCGGGATCCTCCCAGACCGGGGCACGAACGCGCGTCGCCTGCACCGGCAGGCGGACTCCCAACCACTGCGCCACCAGGGAAGCCCCATCTGGATGGTTTTGAAGGGTCTGCTGAGAAATGCCAAATTTGACGTTCACTCATAATAATTCCTTAATGTTTTCTAATACCTAGTTCCTCGTTCCATTGTCCCCCGAATCTCAAAAATATCTTTTTACAATTTGTTAGAAACAGTACCCAAAGAACCACAGCGTCCTCTAATGTCTGTAACATTTTACACTGTCTTTCCTTCCCAGGGCCTGTACGGTCAGGCGCGGGGAGCCCTCTGTCCTGCTCACACCAGTCCCCAGAATCTGAGCGCCGGCCAGCGCCCCTAATCTCGGAAGCAAGCTTCAGCCTCCATCAAGAGCACCGCAGAAGGGAGCAAGCATCGGTGGTTACCAAGGAGATTCCAGCGTGCGGCCCTGATTAGCTGACACGCCTCCCGCTCGCCCACTCCGCTCCGCGCTGGGGGAGGGGTACCCAGAGGCAGAGATTTCTCGGGGACTTCTGGGAAAAAGTAAGTCCTTGAGAACGAAAGCGGAAGCGGCGCGGCCCGAGGCCTTCTGGGAGTCGCAGTTCGTCGTCGTCAGGCGCCTTCGGACCTCGCAGGCGGAGCCGCTTGGTTTCACGTGAGGTCCGTGCGGACTGGGGCCCGGCTGCCCCACCTCCTCTCCGGCCGGGAGCAGCGGGCGCTCGGCGCTGGGGCCTGGCGGGGAGCGGGACCCCGGGTCCCGCAGAGGCCGCGGAGGCCCAGGGCATTCCTTGTGCCGAGGAAGAG